CGTTTCATGATGCTTATAATGCAGCGCTGATCTCCGTGTCTGTGCTCTCTGCTAGAAGTGCCTTTTTAAAGACAGAATCGAAAGCTTTGTAGTAAGTAGTGTATGGTCTGCTATTATCTTCCCACAGAGTGGTACTCATTTATCAACTTCTGAAGAAGAAAAAAGATCGACTGAACCAACTGCGTTTAAACCAGAAACTTTTCGTTTCTGTGTCCAACGTTTTGCCAACTGAACAACTGTGGCATGAAGGAGTGGGTTACTGTGATGACTAAATCTGTTTCATACTTTTGAATTTTGTTTCATCCAAAAGTGATATTGTCCATCACCGGGGTCACAGTGCCCTCCATACTGTAGTCATTGCCTGTAACCTGCTGTTTGTATTCTACTTCTCAGATGTCACTGTGTTTTGCTTTTGCAAGGTAGCTATCGATCCTTTATCAATCTTACGTTCAGGGCCTTAATCGGCAGCAACACTTCACTGAACTTGGGTCTTGTCGAGGACGGTACCAAATGCGGTTCGAATCATGTATGCTGATTTGCGTCTGTTGATATTTGATAAATGTATAGCTTTTTGGTTTTTTTCACAGGTTTGCATTGGCCAGAAATGCGTCCTGGTGGATGCAATCGTTTCAGCTGTAACCTGTCCGACAAACAATTTAGCTCTTCACTGTTCCGGTCACGGGGTAAGTGTGGACAATTGTGAGAATACTAGAATGCATATATCTGCACATAGGCTGTTATCAGCTCATCGTGTAAATGACGTTAGTTTTATAAATAAGCAAGTTGTTTTTCCTATGGAAATTACGTTTAATTATTATTAATTAAGCATGTGTAAAGCTGTTAAAGAAATGTTCATTTTTGTCAGAATTATATACATGCAAAACTCGCTGTGTATTTATATAATTTGTATACGTATCTTCATACGTATAGCTTTCCAGACTCAATGCAACGACCTAAAGCGTCGACTGTATTCCTACATATCCATAGAGCTGTCTAAGCAAGCGACAGTTCGTAACTCTTTGAACACTTGCAAGTCATCGATGCATCGTCAAAAGATTACGCCGTCTTCGTGAATCATCCTTGCTACTATTATACGCCAGAATATTCTACTAAATGCATAATTCTCCAAAGTAGTTTGGCAGCGTATGGCGCCATTCCATGCTTGCAGACCTAGGGGACCATTTCAGTAGGCCAATGCTCCATTACATTTGAGCACATTCATTGCATTAGTGCATCTTCATTCATTCATTATCTCGTCTGATCTCATATCCAGAGCGTACGGACTCTTACCTGATTGTTTGAAGCCTTATACTGTAGATATGAGATTAGATGAGATAGTGCTGATGAAAACAAATGATTGAAGGCGATGGATGTGCACAAATGAAATGAGCAAGATATTATTTTCGTGTAATTTTTTTTAATATTAGCCATTAGATTTTGTCCGTATCTTTCATCGCTCTTGTTGGCGATTTCCCACTCCCTGTTCAGGTGGATGGCTCGGTTTCATCATGCTTTTGTTAAGAAGCAGTATGACGTTAGCATAGAATTCTGCCATTCAGTTTAAGAGTTATGGAATTCTTCATCTTTAATGGACTCGCTTTAAGGCATGAAGAGAATTTTAAGCGACTGATTACCATTGCCACGTCAGCAGACCGTTTTAGAACTCATGACAATTTCTACGGTTCAAAAAAATATACGGTTTTGAATTTTTTCTTAGCTTACGATCCCATAATATAATCCAGGTTATATTTGTGGGGAGCAAAAGTAACAAATTTATTACCGATTCTTAGGTTACTCTGAGATCACTCTTGGGTACGGCGTCGAAATGCTTAGTAAATTAAGCCCTTTACCTCTCACTTTTAATTGTTGTACTGACATGATTGATCAATATCAAGAAGCGAAGGCCGTTAGCCATTATGCGCACAGATAACAGATCAGTGGGGTCTCCCATGGTTTTGAGCGATTGCTTTTATTTTCTTGATTCGCAATTATATCAATTAATACTATATGGTGATGACTTTTTTTAGATCTGTACTAATCTCGGCAGTTGCTACTGCAACGATGGATGGGAGGGATTTCAGTGTGACGTGAAGAAGAACGCGACCGTCTTTGCCAAACTGGCGGTATCACCGGATAAAAGTCGACCGGATGCTTCGGCGAATTCACCAAACAGTCCCAACGCATCGTTTTTCATCCCGTCGTATCGCATGCGGGGTACTTAATCGTTCATTGCTCATCTTTACTTTTACAGTTGCTTTCAGTGAATGGCACTGGTCAGCAAGATCTGTACATCATACTGATAATCCTTGGAGCGGCAGCAGGGGCTATTTTGCTCATTCTTGTGTTTCTCTTGTTGTGCTACAGGTAACGAAACAGATTTATTAATCTGTCTTATATCTTTGTTATCATTATGAACGCCATCATGATCATAGTCGTCATCACCATGATATTTATTATTACGGCATCTTCATTATTCTCATATTCATCGCCGTGAAAATTTTATCATCATAATCATTGTTATTATGCCATGGGGATCAGAGAATGCCCGATGGAGGAGCGTCGACTTGTTTTCATGCCGCACCCATGATGAAGACATTTTAATAAAGAAGTCTTATCATATACCGGCACTGAAGCATTGAATATTTAGTTGGTATAAATTTAAAAATTTCGTTGCATTTTAACATTGCGGGATATTCCTAAGTGGTACATGTATGCTTTGGATATCATGAGAAAACATGATAATGAAAGCAGACGATATCTTATATTTGTACCATATGCTATATTATTATGGTAACAGAAAAAGAGCGCTTTACGAGTGTCGAATACGCACTGTTAATTTTTTTGTTTTAATTCAAAGCTGATGCTGTGCTAACTGTTTTGGAGGACATTGCGTCTTGCTCCAATGTTGTCTTGATGCTGATAATCAATAACATAAATTGAATTGGCAATGTCTTTCTACTGTTAGAAATTTTAAGTCTCATATAACAATCATATTAACTACTTATTTGGACTTGACACAGTTGGATCATTGAGACTTCACCTATTAGTACAATAAGAAAAACAAAACAGATAAATAGTAAATAGAATTGATAAAAGAAAAACAAGTTCAACAAATGCATGCGAAACAGTTATTACAGTCAAATGTGTGAAACTGTAGTAGATCTGTGAGAATACTCTCCCAAGGCTGTGACAGCGGTAGATCTGCGGTATAGCTCAATCGGTGCAACATTCTGCGACATTTTCAAACTTAATGGTGAACAACCGTAAAATATTCTACATTAAATTTGAATGATATCTAGTGTGTGAACAACGAATGAAAATGTAAATGTCTGTTTATTTTATAAATACTTTTACATTTGGGAAATACGTTAACTGTGGTACTCCGACATTGTCATGTCATGCGAAAGATACGACTCTGCTATTCTTATGCGTGGATTTTAATGCTGCAGTTTGATTTAACCCAGTGATGGCTGTTTAAGATTTTTATTTATGATATACAAATATCATCAGCATAAAAAGTGTTCTCGGTATTATGGATATACTTGCCATTTGGTATGTTTTCGATACCGAAGCTTAGATAACAAGATGCTGTCAATTTTCCTTGTATTCTTG